GGCCCACCAGATCCAAGCCATGGTTTTCACAATTACTTGCTATTCTTCAGAGAGCTAGACAATGACTAAGGATGATAGAAGAATTGATGCCTTTGAGTTTTGGTAGTGGGGAAAAGTATTGAACATACAATGGACTGCCAAAAGAACAAATGGATCAGTCATGAAGAGATTAAAACCCAGCTACTCCTTGGAGGAAAGGATTTTGAAGCTCCATTGCATATGCTTTTGGCACATGGTCAGGAGGGGCCAGTTCTTGGAGACAGACATCATGCTTCTAAGGATGGAGGAACAGCACAGGAGAGGAGGCCCCAGACTTAGATGTATTGAGACAGTAACTAGAGCAATAGGGGTTGTTGTTGTTATGTGCCATCGAGGCGCTTGTCACTCATAGCGACCCTATCTATGTACGCCAGCCCTAAACCCTGCTCTATACTGTGCCAATCGCACTGCCTCTGACACACCCATCCCAATTACCCCAGTCACTGAATCAATCCACCTCATAGAGGGTCTTCTCCTCTTGCGCCGTCCCTCCACCCTCCCAAGCATGATGTCCATCTCTAAGGACCTGGCCCTCCTTACAACATGTCCAAAGTATGTCAGACGAAGCCCCAGAAACTTTGTCTCCAAGGAGCAGCCTGGTTTAACCCTCTCCGGGACGAATCTGTTTGTTTTCCTAGCAGTCGATGGTATCCTCAACACTCTTCTCCAGCACCACAGCTCAAAGGCATCAATTCTTCTTCTATCCTCCCTAGTCATTGTCCAACTCTCTGATGTATAACAAGTGATAGCAAAGACCATAGCTTGTATCAGGTGCACCTTAGTCCCCAGAGTGACACCATTGCTCTTCAGTACCCTGGAGAGGTCCCTAAGAGCCGACGCAATACGTTTTTTTATTTCCTGGCTGCTGGTGCCAAGAGTGTTGACCGAGGAGCCAAACAAACTAAAGTTGTTAACAGTCTCAATCTCTTCACCATCCATCCTGATGCTGCCAATTGGTCCAGTGGTGAGAACCTTTGTCTTCTTGACACTGAGCCTCAATCCATACTGAAGGCTGCAGTCCTTGGCCCTCTGCAGCAAGTGCTTCAGGTCCTCCTCAGTTTCAGCAAGCAAGGTTGTGTCATCTGCATAACGCAGATTGTTAATAGATCTTCCACCAATCCTGACGCCATACTTCTCCTCATAGAGCCCAGCCTCCCGGATAATCTCTTCTGCATACAGACTGAAAAGGTATGGAGATGGGACACATCTCTGGCGTACACCTATCTCAATTTTGAACCATGCAGTATTTCCCTGTTCTGTTCTGACGACTGCCTCTTGGTCCAAGTATAGGTTTCTCATTAGCACGAACAAGTGTTCTGGGATTCCCATTCTTCTGAGAGTCAGCCACAGTTTGTTATGATCCACACAGTCAAATGCCTTTGCATAGTCAATTAAACACAGTTAGACATTGCTCTGCTATTCTCTGCTTTCAGCTAAGATCCATCTAACATTAGCTATAATATCCCTAGTACCATGACCTCTTCTAAACCCCACCTGGACTTCTGTCAGTTCTCTGCTGATGTACTGTTCCAGTCTTTTTTGGATAATCTTCAGTAGAATCTTGCTTGCATGTGAAATCAGTGATATTGGTCTATCGTTTCCACACTCTGTTGGGTCACTCTTCTTTGGAATGGGAACAAATATAGATCTCTTCCACTCAGTTGGCCAAGTGGTTGTTTTCCAGATTTCTTGGTACAACTTGGTGAGCACATCCAGGGCAGCATCTGAGTGCTGAAATACTTCAATTGGTATACCATCTATTCCTGAGGATTTATATTTTGTTATTTCCTTCAAAGCAGTTTGAACTTCTTCCTTCATCACCATAGGCTCTTGCTCATATGTGATTGCATTAAATTCTTCTGTGTCTGCCAGTTCCTTTTGATACAGTGACTCAATATATTCTTTCCATCTTCTTTTAATACTTCCTGGATCATTTCATATTCTGCCTAAAGCAATGGGGGTAGGTGTGTCAAATATTCTTTTGAGTGGTATAGTATTGGTCTGTCCATTAGCTGTATAGAAGTAACTCATAGTTGCCGTGATGCTAAACACTGTGACACTGATGTGTCAAATGCAGTAATGGTTACCCATGGTGGACAGTGTTTTGTGGAGATCCCTGATTAAAACATCAAGTTACTTATGACTCATAGAGACACTCCATACAATATCTCTGAAGTCTGCTCTATCCTGAGCCAGTCTCTCTGACTCTGACACACCTATTCTCATTGCCCGAGTTACTGTGTCTATCATTCTCATCTGAGATCTTCCTTTCAATGACACAAAACAACAAATTTAATTTACAATTTTTTACCTTCTGGAAATAGTGTAAAATATTTATAAGCATTGTACAATGAAAATCGGTATAAAATTTTCATAAGTTTTGTACAAATGATAGCACTAGATTTTTGTCTTACTTATCCTTAGTAGGGATATATAATAAGCAATGAATAAATTTCACTTATCATAAAATATTTAATTCTGTGCTTTTTAGAAACAGGTTTTTTAAAAAAAAATTCAGTGGTTCCACTCTGTGGTTCATACAATCACCTTTGGAAAGAAGCATATAAAGAACAGACAAAGATAAAAATATGCTCTTCTTGTTTATTCATTGCATTGAAATGCAGAAAATATGAATGGTGTTTGAATAGGTAGGCAGAACTTCTTAAAAAATCCTGTTTCTCTCATGTAAACATTTCAAAAGAGAAAATTCATTAAATGCCAATTTATTTAGCAATGGAGGTTAGCAGTGGTACGTTACTAAGGATTGCTAAGGTCCAAATTGCTGAAAGTGACCAGGTCTTGACACACTTGCAGCAAAAGAGCAAAGACTACAGCCTTCAATTTGGATTGCATATCAAATATCAAAAAACCAAAAATCCTCATCACTGGACCAAGAGGCAGCATCATGATAAGTGGAGAAAAGATTGAAAGTGACAATGAGGTCATCTTACTTGGAACCACAATCAATAAATTGGTAGTAACAGTCAGGCAGTCAGGAGACACATTGTATGGGGAAGTCTGCAGTAAGGGACTCCTTGAAATTATTGAGAAGTAGTGATATCAGTTTGAGGATTTAGGTGTGCCTAACTCAGAGCATGATCTTTCCAGTCACTTGCTGTGACTGAGAGCTGGACAACGCACAAGGATGACAGAAGAAGAATTTATTTTTTAAACTGTGGTGTTGGAGAAGAGTCCTGAAGATATAGCCTGGATTGCCAAAAGAACAAACAGATATGTTTTTGGGAGGGTGAAACCAGAGTGCTCCTTGGAAACAAAGATGATTGAACTTCACCTTGCATACTTCGAGCATTTTGCTATAAAAGGCTATTCCTTGCAGAGCGACATCATGCTTGGGATAGTGGAGGGGTGGTGAAACAGAGGAAGACCCATGAGGGTTGACAAAGTGACTCTAGCATTGAACGTGAGTGTGTCAGAGATTGTGAGGGGAAAACAGGACAGGAGAGTGTTCAGATTGGGGTTCATAGGGTCATTATGAGTCATACTCAATTCCACTCATCACCTAATAACAAGGTTTAAATATAATACAGTAAAAGTGGAATACAATCATAAAATTGTGAGCACTGGTGATGTAGCACTCATATGCTAGGTTGATAATCAAATGGTTGGTGGTTTGATTCAAGCAATAGCTTCTCAGGAGAAAGATGAGCAATCTCCTTCCATACGTAGAAGAATCACCATGAATTAGAATTGACTGGCAGCAGTTGGTTTGAGCTTGGCTAAAATAGAAAACTTTAGCTAGAAAGAGAATACTAAGTTACTAAAATAATAGTAATAATAAAAGAAAGAGTTAAGTAACATGGATTAATAGAAACATTTTGTATTCAGAAAATTAAGTCAGCCTCATAGTGACACTACATGTTATTGTTGTTACGTGCCATTGAGTTGCTTGCAACCTTAAGGTAGCCCAAACAGACTGAGCTAGTGATTTCCTTTTGGAAGTCCTCCGTGATGTCCATTTTCCTAAAGAATAAGCCAAAAGTGGCTGGAGAAGCCACTTGAGAGATCACGTCCTCCAGAAGTGAAGCAGTAGCTTTCAGAAGACTCCAGATACACCAGTGTCTCAGCAACTCAGTCCTCTCGGAAGATGAATGAAATGGGGCCCTGAGTGCCCTTTTATAAGGGGGAGTATCACATCCAACTTTGCCCTGAGTAATATGCCAAAAGTGGAGGTAGAAGCTACTGGAGAGATCACGTCTTCTATGACTGAACCAGTAGCTTTCAGAAATCTCCAGATACACCAGTGTCTCAGCAACACAGTCCTTTCAGAAGTGGAAGGAAATGAGTCACTGAGTGTCCTTTTATAAGGCAGAGAATCACATCCGATTTCTCTCTATGATGACCTTTTAACGATATCACGGTTGTTATCAATAGGATGATAAGAGTCCTTCTCAACCAATCAGAACGTTTCATTAACAGCTTAGTAATTTACATAATCCTCTCTCAACACCATCTCTTCAAGGAGTATACATTTTTCAGGAGATTAACTTGAAAATGGTGACTCGGGGTGCATATATGTTTCTTCTTAAATGTTTTTATTATGTCAGTTTATTTGCAAGATTCAAAGACATTGTTTTTCACACCCGATTCTTCCAATTTCTCTCACCTCCTCAACCGTCAAATTGTACAACCCCGTGATTAGTCCCTACCTATTCACCCCCACGCATCCTCATTTCTCTGTTTCCGCACCCTTCCCTGGCAGCGTCTCTATACCTCGGACTAGTGCTTCTAAGCTTGTCCCCAGTTTGTCTTTTTTCTTTTTTTTCTTTTTGAAAGTGACACAATTTTATTTTGCACACTTGCTACCTATTTAATTCTGTTACAGTAACTTGGTTACGTTAAAGAAGAACTACTGATAAAGAGGAAAAATACGTGACTGATTAGGTCTCATTGGCATAGACTTTTTCAAACTTGGAGTTGCCAGATTCCAAAGTAGCCCACGATCATGTATGCCAAGTGCAATAAAAAGGTGTGAGTGGCCAGTTAAAAGAGTTATCTGGGTATCTCCATAGAAGGGAACTTTTGGCCACATTCACAAAACTCACACTGCCACAATCAAAATCAACATATACACCAATCCTTTCCAGTGTTTTCTCTGTATAGTGAAAAGTTGGTGGAGGACTTGTCAAGAGAGTGTGGCAATGATTTTCCTTCACATGGAAAAGAAGAAACACATCCTCCTTCAAGGTTACAGGGCCATTCTTCGGTGGCTGTCCGTGTCGACACACTCCTACAGCCCAGTCCAAAGACTTGTCCACATCTACTTCCCAGTATTGCTTTCCAGAGGTGAAGACTTGTGATCCCCAGGCAGCAACAAATGTAGATATTCCAGAAGAAAAAGTTGCGTCTTGAAGGTCACATCCTAACTTCAAACTTTGTACATTTTTAAACATCATGAAATCGAGATTGCTTATTTCATTATTGAAGGAAATTTCAACCCGAAATTTGTTGCACCTGGACACCAGGCCAGGGATGGGGATTGCACGGTATACTGGGTTTACCGGCTCAGGCATGTGCAGCTGCACGGACTTGCTCCTGAACAACAGACTTCCCAGTTCCTGCAATAGCTCTACATCTGGTTTATCACACATATTCAGCAGCTCCTCATACATTTTATGTAGTTCTTTGTGTTTTTTTTAACATTGCACGTTCTGTTTTCTGGAATTGTCTTTCAATAATTTTATGATGGTGAGACTCAGCAGTATCAACTGCTGTGTTCCATTTTCTTGGAGATCTGGATGCAACTTCTTATACTCTCCATGGATCATCATTGTGTAGACATGAATGTAATATATCCATCTGTCCTTCTTGCTTTCCTCACTGAGATTCCTCTCATTTTTTTTAATCTTTCTCCTTAATGATGTCATTTCTTGGGTGAGCTTCTCCCTGTATTCTTTCACTGTGCTTTCAACGGAGGAGTGTCTGTGAGCTTCGTGCTTCTGAGTTTTAGAGCAGAGCAAACACAACAGTGTCTTTTCTTTTCACAGAGATGTAACTCTTGCTTACGGTGATGCTGAGCACTGTGACACTGATGTGCCAGATATGATAATGGTTACCCATGGTGGACAGTGTTTGCTGGAGCTTCCCGACTAAAACAAGCCTGGGCGAAGGACCGGCATCTACTTCTGAAATGGCTTTTCTCAGGAAACTCTGTTTGAACAGTGCTCAGGCCTTTCGTTCATAGGGTCGCTGTGAGTCATCTATGACTCGACAGCACTTAACAACAACAACATCCAAATTAAGACAGACTAGAAAGAAGAATTGGCCATCCACTTCCGAAATATATCATGCCTTCGAAAACCCTATGTATAGTAGAGCAAATTTTAAGTAGAATAGCAGATATGGCAAATGAGGCTGAGCCCTCAAATTGGAAACAAAAAAGAAGGAAGAGTTGTAAGCAGAAACTAATGATTGGCATGTGGATTGTGAGAAGCATGAATGTAGGAAAACTGGGCATTGTTAGAAAAGAAGTGGAACAATTAATTATGTACATATTAGGCATTGGCAAAATGAGATGGATTGGCACTGTACATTTTTAATCAGATGATAATACTACACTGGAGATGAAAAGGTGAGGGGGGAAAGAGTCATAGTTAAAAAGGCCATTTCTAGATCCATCTTGAAATATAATATTGTGAGTGACAGGATAATATCCATACTCATACTAGAAGACATTTAATACCACTATCATTGTAATTTATGTATCAAAAACTAGACCCAAAGAGGAGGAAATAGATGATATCTACAAACTGTTGCGGTCAGAAATCAACTGGACATATAATCAAGATGCATTAATAATAACGGATGATTGGAATGTGAAAGTTGGGAACCACGAAGAAGGATCAGCAGTCTGAAAGTACAGACGTGGTGACAGAAATGGGGCTGGAGGCATAGTAATGGAAATCTGCACAATCAAGGACTTATTCGTTGAAAGAGCCTTTTATAAGAAACATAGATGTAGGCCATATGCATGGATTTCACTTGATGGTATGCACAGTAATCAAATTGATTACATCTCTGGAAAGAATTGTTGGAGAAGTTCAAGATCAGCAGTGAAAATTAGACCAGGTGCTGATTGTGAAACAGACCCTCAACTATTCATATGTCAGTTCAAATTAAAACTAAAAAAGGGAGCACCGCGCCGTCCATGGCGTCCATGGCATCCTCGGCGTCGCGCTTGTCGTGGAAGCGCATGAAGGCGAAGCCGCCCGACTCCATGGTGTAGCGATCCTGCGGGATGTACACGTCGCCCACGCGCCCGTACTTCTCGAAGATGCGCCGCAGCGTGTCCGGCGAGGTCCGCATGGCGATTATTTACGGCGTGTTCTCGGCTTCAAATTTGATAACGCCGTCCGTGGTTGCCATCGTAGGGCCCCAGCTCTCAATGTTCACAAGTGGTTTATTCTATAGCATGTACATTGCCGTTTTTATCCAGCCTTTCCCCTGGTCCTTCTACACGGCCTCCGTCTTCAACGGAATTGCAGCTGCTGTGAAGGTTTACAGTACATAACTGGTTTGTCATCCCATCACTTGTGACACTGTATGACATTGACTGTCATTGATGAATGTCATGAATTGCAGCTGTGTGTTGTCTTTCCTCTCTTCACACACATGTACGAACTCCAGTGCTTTGGACAGCCCAAGGGAACTGCCTGACCATCAACTCAGATGAGCACACGATTGGCAGGAACGGTGGTATTTTCTGGGCACTCTTACAGTCAAGCTTGTTCTTTGGGAATCTCGACATATATTTCGCCTGGCAAGGGAAGACACAGATCTCAGAGAGCGACCGGAGAACAGTGTTCATTGTCCTGACTGTCATCAGTCTTGTGGGGACCGTTCTTTTCTTTTTCATTAGGAAACCAGATTCCGAAAATGTCCTGGGAGAAGATGAATCTTCCGATGACCAGGATCTGGAAATCAATGAGTCGGCTCAGAACAACGTGACAAAGGCAGTCGATGCGTTCAAAAAGTCTCTAAAGCTGTGTGTCACCAAGGAGATGCTGCTCCTGAGCATCACCACAGTGTACACAGGTCTGGAGTTGACTTTCTTCACTGGGGTCTATGGAACCTGCATTGGTGCTGTCAACAAATTTGGGACAGAGGAGAAGAGCCTCATTGGACTTTCTGGCATTTTCATCGGCACTGGAAAAATCTTAACCATGGTCTTTTCAGTCACTTGGTGTGTGTCTGAGAGCTGGACAATGAATAAGGACGACAAAAGAAGAATTGATGCCTTTGAGCTGTGGTGCTGAAGAAGAGTGCTGAACATCCCATAAACTGCTAAAAGAACAAATATGCCTTGGAGAAGGTACAACCAGAGTTCTTGGAGGCAAAGATGATGAACCTTTGTCATACATACTTGGGGCTTTTTGCTAGGAGAGGGTATTCTTTGCTGAGGAACATTATGCTTGGGAAGATGACGGGACAGCAAAGGGCAGGAACCTCAACCAGCAGGATTGGCAGTCATTGCAGCAACAGGCTTGTGTGTACAAATATGATGGTTCAGGATGGGACAGGGGTCAGCTCTGTTGTCCATACGGTAGATAGGAGTCTACTCAAGGGCATTTGGCAACAACGGTTGATTGTTGCCTAGGTCGAGCACCAGAGAGGAACATACTGATTAGAACAGTCAACCACATGAAACCAGAAGGGCAGCATTCATCCAGAAAGATAACTCAGAGGACAGGAAGAGAGATGCAGGTGTAACAAAAGGAAAAGGAACATACAGAGTGGGTAGAGTGCAGTTTTGTAAGGAATGTCACAAAAGCCAACGTGTGAATTGTCAAATGGAAATTTGGTTTATGCTGCAAATTTGCTTAACTCACAGGAAAAACTTGAATAGATTTTAAAAAAAGAATAGATTCTCAAAAAGAAAAAAAATAGATTAGCAACATTGAATGAATAGAAATCCAAAATCTCTGTAAATGTTCATCAAAATTAATAAAATTTTAAAAAATAGATGAGGGCGCTCTGGTGGCCTAGTAGCAAGAAGCTACACTGCAATCCCAAAGGGGGCGTGATTCAAATCCACCAGATGCTCTGCTGGAGAAGGAGGGGCAATCTCCTCCTGTACCAGTCAGATCCGATTAGATGATACACACACACAAATAATAAATTAAAAAAATAGATGATGAGAACATGATAGATGCAGACTAACAGCCTTGGAACTTGGTGGTGCAAATGCTTAACACACTGACTTCAGGTCAAAAGGTTAAAAGTTTAGGTCCCTCCAAAGGTGTCTCAGAAGGTGGGCTTGGTGACCTACTTCGGAAGCATCAGCTGTCGAAACCTCCATGGAGCACAGTGTAGCACACACAAAGAGTTGCTGTAAATTGGTGTAATTAAAACAAGGACCACATGGGGTAGGTCAAGTCCATCCTCCGTCTGCTAAATTCAGAAGGAGAATTGTCCCATTGACAGAATCCACAGTACAAAGCGACCACCTACCAGGCCAGCCATGGTCTCCCATGCTGCTGCACCTTTTCACCAACCCCAACACCAATCAGACTAGTAAGTGGGCCCAAAATTCACTGCAGTGACCACACAGACTTCACAGAACTATAGTCACAACTGTGGAGTTTGATTATGTTTATTAGGGAAGTTAACAGGCTATAATTCAGAATAGCAACAAGCAATAGTATACGATTGATAACCAGACAGTCTTTTGGTTCAGACAAACCACGAGGATACAAACTGGCAGTAATATACAGTATCCATATAATCCCCCGGTCCTCCAGCAAGCTTGAGTGCAGGCCACTTGACTGTGGTCTCACGGAGAAGTCCCAAGTCAGCTACATCCAAATAGACTAATAACAGTTCCAAATCAGACCAGTATCATATCTCAGACCAGACATGGCAAACATCTTTATCAACAGTATATATACATCACCTTCCTACCTCAGTCCACACAACTCCTCATCCGCCAGCAAGCTGGAGCTAAGAGCACAAGTCACACAGCAGCTCCCATGTTAGTCTCTCCTGGTGGGTGAGACTCCCACTTCCTGCCACTAAATCTGCTCAATTAATGGTGAGACAATCCCCTTGCAGACAGATGAACACAGCCTACTTGCCTGAGAAAGCACTGGCTCACGCAGCTGTTGATGGTGTAGATGGGCCAATGTGTCTGCACGGCAGGCAGAGTTGAGGCAGCTGGATCAGATTAAAGACAGTGGTCTAGGGGCTGTGTAGTAACAGAGCCACGGCAGCACAGATGGTGTTGATACAATGCCGACTTTCTGGGCAGCCCTTGAGTAGAGTGTACGCATGGAAGGAACCTCAGAGAAGATTCTAAGATTTAGAACAGTCTTAGATATTATAAAAGTATCACACCGCAAGCCCAGTGACCACACACTTAGGACATGAACTTTGTCCCCATCTTGACCTGTACTCAGAGCCTAAAAATCTCCCAGCTTTCTGTTTGGGAGCAAAAGCCCCATCTGCCTCTTATTTTCTGATTAAACTCACTAACTCACGTTGTTGTTATTATGTGCCGTCGAGTCGTTTGCGACTCATAGCGACCCTATGCACAACAGCCCTAAACCCTGCTCTATCCTGAGCCAACCGCACTGCCTCTGACACACCCATCCCGATTACCCCAGTCACCGAATCAATCCATCTCATAGAGGGTCTTCCCCT